TTATGTGCCTAGGAAGATCATTGTTTTTGCATTTTAGTCACATATTTCAACCATTTTTCAATTTGTCCAAAATCTTAAAAATACAAAAAAAAATTAGTTTTCATTTAACCTTGCCTGTTTAATGCCTAATCATTAAACCAAATCAAATTATTACAGTTCTTGATAAATAGAAATAATTAGGCTTAATTTTTATCAATTTCGTAAGAGATTCGACCTAGGTTGCTCTCTATACATATTAGAGTATTTCTTAGTTTAATTTGAGTGCTTAAGTGATTAGTGCATATCACTACTACACTTAGAGATTGGCGATTTAATAGGGTTATGGAATGACGCACCCTGGAATCAATGACCTAGGATCCTTAAAAGCTAGTGATCTAAGAACCAAAATATTCAAAGTTGATTTGGGAACCAAAATACCTAAAGAATCATATTCTAGAGATTGGTGCTTTAGTAGAGTCATAGAACCATACACTTTTGAAATCAATGACATTGGCTCCCTAAGAGCTAGTGATTTGGGAACCATAATACTCGTAAGTAATATGGGAACTAGAATGTCAGGAGAATAATACTCTATAAATTGCACTCTAGAAGAGTTATGGTCCAATAAGAATGAGACCACATCCTTGTAAACTAAAATGGAACCACACCCTTAAATTGGGAAATAATGGCAAACATTATACAGATCTCAAGATTTAGAATGTGATACTATAAGTATAGTACACTTTAAACTTTGTTACAATCTAGAACGAGTATGGTGAACAAAGCTCTAAGGTACAGGATAACTTTCTAGCCATATATTAGAACCTTGATAGATATTAGGAACTTCATATGCAATATAGAGCATCAAGAAATGATCCAATATGCTCTAGGGCAATTCATCATGGTTATAAAGGAGTATTGTAAATGTTCTAAGCAAGAGATCGATGTAATATAAAGCCAATATCAATAAGTTTGAGACCTAGCTTTACTATGAATGCTTTAAGAAGAAATGCTTGCAATAAAAATGGAAAGCTTATAAAGAAAGAATCTCTTAAAAGTTAATTGCAAATCCCTTAAGATTATAATTCATTAAGCTTGAGGGGCACCTTCTGTTAGCTATAAGGATGAACTTTACGAGGACGATGAGTCACAAGTTAACTTATAGCTGTTAGAACCAATTAGCATATCTGAAGAGCTTAGGGAGTACTCTTCTTATAGCTTTCATGATGAGCTTTAAAGAGGACAATGAGCCAAAGGCCTATTCATGGCCTTTAGAACTAGTTATAGATGAAGAGCTTGAAGGCACTACCTAGAGCACCTTAACTATTTGGGTTGATGAATCAGAGGCAAACTCCATGCCTTTGGGATCAAATGGAGAGCAAGATCCACATCAAGCTCTTCATTAAAATGAGCCGCTCCTTAAGTAGAAACTTTCACATAAAACTTTGATAATAAAGAGCTGGCTCCTCAAGTTCCATGTCACATACATAAGGAATGCTTGGAGATAAAACATTCAAAAACCCATACAAATTTAGCCTATAACAAACCAGGCCAAATTCATAGGTTGGAAGTTATTATTTAGGCTAAAATATGAGTTTTGCCCCAACTAACTATTTGGGTTAAAAAGTATAATTTTGGACCCAAATCCATTTAGGTCTTTCGAAGGAAGGAAATTATGGAAAGACTTGGTCAAACATGCATTACTTCAACAAGGAGGCAAAAGTGGAGAAACATGGAGAAAACTGTGCAATTAGTGGCTCTAAGAAGTGGAGTTTGAAGCCATGAAAAAACTACCATTTTGTGCTTATAATAGGAGAAGCCACCACACATATATATGGTTGACAAACATTGCTATACACAATCTCTCTTAACATTTCAACAACTAAACCCCAAAATCTATTTGCTTGGTACAAAAGCTATGACCTTGCGTCATTTTTTATTTCATCCAATGTGACCTCTTTTATTCTTTAGCAAATTCGACATCTTGCCTTTATTGTGCTACACATTTAGTAGAGAGCACTAAAATTCTCTAGCAAATAATAGAGCACCAGCTCCTAAAAAAAGTAGTAATAGCATACTAATGCTTTTCCTTTGACATTATGTATTTTTTATATTTTTTTTATCATTATCAATATCATGGTTACTCTTACCATGTAAGTCTTGCATGTTTCTTAATCTTTACTTTTTCATTCCCTTTATTTTTAAGCACTTGTATTTGTGAAATTGTGGTAAAAGACTCCAAGAATTATTTTGATTTCAGAAGTCAGGTAAATCGTACCTTTTGAAAACACACTCTCTCTGGCCTTCTCATGCAAAAAACAATGGAAACATCTTATTTGAATCTAAAAGATTTTTTTAAGAAAGTTTTTTGCCATAGATTTAAAAATATAATATCATTTTCACCCTCATTTTAAAGTGCTTTCTAAAGATGACGAGCTTATAGGCTATTGGCGGTAAGCTTCCTATTAAGAAATTAAAGGTGACAACCGATTAGGTCCTCTCACCTAACCTTTGAGGTTTGAAGACATAATGTGAATCATGGTTTTAAAATATTAATTTAATGATAGTTAGGTTTTTAATTAAATTTTATAAAAAAAATGATTTGTAAATATAATTTAATAATTAAAATTGAAATTCACATTAAAAATTTAAATATACCTAATTTGTAATTAAGATTTTAAAATTTGAAACAAATATTTGCAAGGAAACTTAACTTTTGTTAAATTGACATTATCGTATCTATCTATCACTCTCCTTCACACACACACATGTGCGCGCACAGTGCAAGCATGCATGTCCACACAACACAAACATGCACGGATGTATGCACACACTTTTAAGGGTTTGGTGGTAAAATAAGGGTTTAGAAGAGCACGTGCACGTGCGCACATACACACTTTTTTAAGGGTTTAGGAATATTTTTTTCTCTCAACTATTTGTTCACACACACACACTCACTCACACACACTTTTTTAAGGATTTAGGAGTATTTTACCTTTCAAACTTTGTTCAGTTTTTTTAAAGGGTTAAGGAAAATTTTTACCTCTCAACTGTTTGTTTAGAAGTATTTGATATTTTAATTTTCATGTGGTACAATTCTCTCTTAAACATAAAAAATAGTGGATTGAACACCTTACTATTAAAAAGTTAATTTTAAGTATTAGTTAATTAAAGAAATCACAATAAAAAAAGACTTGTAAAAGTTGAGCTACCAAATGTGTATATTGGTTTGCCTCCCTCAACACAAAGTTATCTATTAAGAAAACATTTAATTATATCAATGATTTAAAACCAGATCAAATTGTCGACCAAAGCCATTATATCTCAGTTTGAAACCAAAATTTTAGAAGTTGGGTAGATTAGACCGTTTTGGACCAACATTTGAATCGGGAATCAGGATCAAACTTGGAATTAAATTCGGTTCTTAAAAACTGAATTACTCAAAAATGACCCCTTTTTTTGTTTTTAGAAAATGATCCTTTTTTTCAATTATTTAATATTATGTTGTATTATATAAATTGTTCAATCATGACAATCTTAAAAATTTGGTTTTATTTTTACGTTAAATAATGATTTCATCTTTACTTATTGTATTTAGATTATTATATGTATATATAATTTTTTTTAAATTTAATCATTGTATTAACGGTTCAATCATCATTCCAACTCAATTATACAAACTTTGAAGTATTGGCATTTTTGATTCAATATGCGGCCCTATTTAAAAAACATTGAACTATATTAATGATATCTTTGAAGGGAGGGCTTTTGTCAACGCAAACCTTCGTCACCATCCCAATTGCCTTTGCATTGTCACAAAGGTCATCTAAATTTTGGAAGTATATAGACAAAAGAAGCGCATACTAATTATGCAGCTAGATTCTGATTTCTGGGAATAGTTGTGAAGTTGAAACCAAACATGGCAAAAGTGTTTGAGAATCAGGCAAGGCAATATGCAGATTCAAGGCCAACTTACCCTTCCCAACTATTCCGCTTCGTCGCCTCCAGCACGCCCTTTCATCATCTCGCTTTGGACGTCGGCACCGGCAACGGCCAGGCTGCCCAATCTGTGCGCTTGCTTCTCTTTTCCTCTCGAATAATTTTCCTCAAATTCCTCATTATTCGACTCTCTCTTTGTTTTTTTTCCCTGAATAGATTGATCGATTTAAACTGTTAATGGCTTAATCATGTTTTGAATCCCAATTGATTACAGTTAGCGGAGATATACCAGAATGTGATTGGCACGGATACGAGTGAGAAGCAGCTTGAATTCGCAGTGAAGCTCCCAAATGTGAGATACAAGCACACACCTTCGACGCTGTCTATGACGGAGCTGGAACAGACCGTGGCGCCGGCGGGAACTGTCGACGTCGTAACCGTTGCTCAGGCCCTTCACTGGTTTGACCTCCCGATTTTCTACCGGCAAGTGAAATGGTTGCTCAAGAAGTCTCACGGAGTAATCGCTGCTTGGGGTTACAACGTGCCACGAGTCACCGACGATGTAGACAAGGTGTTCGACGAATTGTACGAAGTGAAACTGAGGCCTTATTGGGATCCACGGCTTGCAATGTGGGAAGATAATTACAGGAACATCGATTTTCCGTTTGAGCTGGTGGCCGGAGCGGATGATACAGGACCGATCGAGTATGTGATGGAGAAGGAGATGGATTTGGGGGCTTACTTGAGGTATGTAACGTCTGTTTCACCGTATCAGACAGCGAAGGAGAAAGGAGCGGAAGTTCCATGGGAGGATTATATTGAAAGATTGAAGAGTGCTTGGATTGAAGATGGATCTCATACTAAGGTTGCCAGGCATCCTGTTTTTCTCAGAATTGGAAAGGTTGGGGACGGCTGAAAGTTCCCAAAACTTAAACCTCAAAATCTTTTAGGAATTATTGTTAATTAAGAGTAAGATTTTTGCTTCTGTTGGGGAAAAGGAAAATAAAAAAAAAAAAAAATTAGAAAGAGACTATTTGCTTTGATCAAGTTCATAGTTCATTTCTGTGACTCATTAGTATGACTTTCTTGCTGCTGCCAGAGTTGATACTTATAAAAAAATTATCGCTATTTAACTAATAGCTGTTATTGGTCATAATCAAAGTGTATAATCATTATATGAAAATTATTTAACGTTAAACTCTAATATAATTTCAAAATACGGGCATATGATAGTTTGATAAGGAAAATTCTTGTCAGAAAATGATACTCTAGTTTAATTAGCTCATCTTGTGGGGTTTATATGTCAATATTCTATTTTAGTGATCTTCATATCCCATTCTCCCTGTTAGTTTTCATGTTTGACATTGTTTCTTAAGTAAGTACTGTTGCTTCACTTGCTTGTCCTAAATATGTAACATTTCTAACTATATAATAGGAATTAGAGAGAGTTAATTAAATCATTAGAGTGGTATAAAATTGAAATAACTTTTTAAGTTTATGTCGATTTAGAAAACATGACTTAAACAAAAGGTGATTTTGAAAAAAAATTATACTCTACCTCTTTATTTATTTTTCAAAAAGTAATTAATACTCTCTACGAATCACAATAGAAGATATCTTTTAAAAACTTACTTGGTCTAAAATATAGTTATTGAATAACTTTTATAATTATTTTTGCAACTATACATTTACAATCATTTTTTATTTTTATTTTTGAAAAAAATGATATATTAAAATTTTAATCACTATTTTCAAGCTTTTTATATAGAAGTATTTAATTTTAATGAGGATATAATTGAAAAGATATAAAAAATTTAAGAATTAAGTTTTAACAACTAGTATTTTGTGAAAACCTTAAACTAGATATCAATATCTTATATTTTGATTAGGAGGAAATAATGAATAAACATTGTTTTAAAAGTGAATAAAGGTAAAAAATGTTTTTATTTGTCTAAAGGCTTGTACTTCAGCCTCGGCCCCAACATTAGCCCAGCCCGTCCTAGTGAGGTATCAAACTCAACCGATGAACCTTATAGACAAGGGGCATGTCAAAGCTGGAATACAATAGCCGTTGGTAGAAAGCTCAAATATTTTCAATGTTTTAATAGAACAAGATTACTTTCCAACTTTTTTTTTTAAGGCAAGTTACTATCCAAGACAGTTTTAGTAGCTGTGTAAAAGTTTTGTGGTCTCGTTCAGTTCGGTCCTCAACAGTTTTATTTAGTATGTGTTGGGTAGCATTAGCATCACAAGGAGAAAGACCATCAGGGATGGTATCGAAGTGAAAATCTGAGAGGCCATCAAGGGATTGAGGACCTCTTGAATTGAGCAAGTGTCTCTGATTGTACTTGGTGTTAACGTATGTTATGTGAAAGCCTCTCGAATGAAGAACTTCGGCATAGTTCATGAGGCTGATCAGATGGCTTTGAGCAGGAAATGGAGTAATAACAACATGGGGTCTTGAATTTGATCCTCCTCCAAGAATAGAATCCATGGTCTAGTTGCAATATGTCGCTCTATTTATGTCTCTTGAAATGCCTCGTTAAATGGGTAAAGCTGTACTTGCAATAGGTCACGGGGAATGAGTGTGTGGGCGAAAATTATAGTTGGATGAGGCTAACGTTTTGAATATTCTATCCACACAAAAAACTAAGCCTCGTTTGGTATGATAAAAGAATTTTTAATGAAATCGGAATCGGAATTGGAATCGAAATTAAATCGGAATAAAATTAAGTTTTAAAAGTGTGTTTGATATGAAGATGGAATTCTAATATAATATTAATTTATATATGTACTTAAAATAAAAAAGTCTAAATTGCCCTTTTTTTAAATTAAAAAAACCTATCTTGTTATAAATGGACAAAAAAGATGATGATAGTGAGGTCTACAAATTGAATTTAAGGGAATTGAAGCAATTCCATGGTCAATATGATGGAATTGGATTCTAACATTTTTGGTGGAATTAGGATTCTTAGGAATTGCAACTCTTGCATACCAATTATGCTTAAATTAGGATTTCATCTTTGATTCCATTTTCATCTTGTCAATTCAATGCTACCAAACATGGCCCTAATCTTCTAGTGCCCCAAGGAAATACAAAATTTTTGTTACTCATTTCACAAGCCATGAATGAGATGAAAATTAAAATAATTGAAACTTTTTTCTCGACAAACAATACCCTAATAAAACCGGAATAGGAGATGAAAGTTGACATCATACAAAATATATATCATTGTGAATCTTTAGGTGACATAATCCCTTGTATCTTATTTATAAGTTAGTTTTAGCATATTTTTACTGATTTAGAATTAAGAAAACTTTTAAAACTTATTATAACTCTCTAAAAAATTATTAAGCTTTTAAATTAATCCTTATATAACATAATAATTAACAATGTATTTTTTATTATCAATATTTAATAGGATAAAGTGAGAATTGATAATAAAAACTCAATAACATATCATATACTCCCTCAGTTCAAAAATGTAATATATTCTTTGAGAAGTTGTATGTTTAAAAATGTAAATTATTTTTAGTCTTTTAAAGTGTAATCATTGTCTTTTTTTTAAAAAGTGTTTTTATTAATAAATGATCTTATATTTATTATAAGGTGTTTAATAAGAATAAATGTAAAAAGATAAAATTAATTTAAAAATATGTAATTATTTTATTGAAAGTAAAACTTAATTACAAATATTTAAGGAGTAAATATGATTCAAAACTTATTCTCCCTGCCCCATAAATATAAATAAGATAGGAAATATATCTATTTTGGCCTGCCTCTTGTTTAACGACATGTCTTACCATACAGCTCAAGGTTTGTCGCGTAGTGTTTTGTCTGGTTCATTGTTTTGAATCTAAGTGGGACACATCGTTGCTTGGTAGAGGTAAGGGTAAATGGGATGTGCAAGAGGATTTGAAAATCCGAATAGATGCTTTTATCGGAACTGGGCATTTAAATAATTAAGTCAATTTTATTTATTATTTTAACTTATTAATGCTCACATGAATTTAGCAACAGTTTATTTAAAATTAAAAATAATTTATTAAAATTTAATAATAACTTATTCATAATTAATAAATATTTCGACTTTAACAAGTAAAATGTAAGAAATTTTAAAGCTTTTAATTTATAATTGACCATATTAGATTAATAAGTAACATTAATAAAATAATAAGTATCATTTTGAAATTAATAACACACCGTTATATTATAATATGAAAGTGATTTAAAAATTTGGGTTACTATACACACACATATATAACACACACACATATATTGCTATATATTATTAAATAGGTTTAGTGTTTTAGTGGCCACTAATTTTTTAGTGGAGCAATGGAGCAATGGAGGAAAAGTAAGGAGGAGGAGAGTAATGGAGAAGCAATAATGAGGAGCAGGAGGAGCGATAGAGGGACAAGGAAGAAGGGGGCCGAGACAAGAGAGAGGGGGAGGGGGCGATGAGGGAGGTGGGGTGACAGGGGAGGTAAGGGGGATGGTGGGCAACTGTGTTAAGGGTGGGGAGGGGTGGGGGCCAATGGGAAAGGTGTGGGGGAGGAGGAAGAAGGTGATAAATAATGAAAAAGGGGGACGGCATGGGAGAGGAAGAAGATGATGAATAATAGAAAAAGAGGGAGGGCATGTTTTTTTTTTAATGTAAATTTGAATTAGATTCAACAATAAGTAACATATCACCCGCTGTTGAAATCTAATTTTCAACACATCACTTGCTGTTGAATATAAAAAATTTTTATTTTTTTTTTAAATTTTAGCTTTCAACAACGAGTGGCTTCACTGGCTATTAAAAGTAAAATTTTTTTATTTTTTTAATTCATCCTTCCAATAATAGTTGAGTTACACTTGTTGTTAAAAGTTGCAATTTTTTTATTTTTTTTTATATTGTCACTTTCAGGGGGTGGCTCTCATTGCTATTGAAAGCCACTCACTATTGAAAGTGGCAATTATTTATTTGTTTTTAAAAAAATTTTCACTTTCGGGTGACATGCCACCCCTATTATAAAAGTGCCACTTTTTTTACTTTCAATAGCAGGTGTATTTTAATCGATATTAATAGTTTCTTGTAAAATATAAATTTTGCACTAGTGATTGCCTATAATGAGAGGACACTTGTACATTATAAAAAAAAAAACCATGCATTATCCATTATTACTATCATGCTCAAGAAGTGGGAATGAGTAGGCTTTGATGATAAAAAATTATATTTCTTTCAAGATGTTAAGAATATTGGATAGACCTCTCACATTTAAATATTGTTACATACACAAAGTTAGGATTTGAACTCATAACTGCTTGCTTAAATAAATATAGCTTGCTTAAATAAAGATAGCCTCTACTACTACAATAATTTTAGTTGGTATCAGATTTTGCTAAATAATAAGTCTTAAGAATGCTTGTAAAAAAAAAAAAAGTTCGAAGAATAAAGATTAGTTGGAATAGTGGCTCACCTAAGATCTTGGACCGGTGGGGGTTTAAATTATATAAAGCATATAAATTGAGAAGAAATCTAAATTGACTTAAGGGGGTTCAAAATTAGAGGTATGGCTTGTGCAAATATTCAAAACTTATCATTCTTATTTGTTAATTTCCTCACAGCCAATGTTAATTTCTTCAAAGTCAATGGGGACAATTGCCCCGTGAAGAAACAGGCAGGTCCGTCGTTGGTTAGAACCAAATCAAACGATCCAAGTAAATCATGTATATCACTAAAAAAAAATAATAGATTTAGGAATGTATATTATTTATACATAGTCAACAATATAACTTGTTTCTCAAACTTCATACGACACTTGAGTCTAATTATAATAAAAAGGTATATGATTTTTTTAAAGATAATTAAATATGTAAAAAAAAAAAGATGTGGACGAAACCTTGATGAAAATAACATTTTTGGCAAGACTTATATCCTTAATTTTATATATTTAATATATTTTTATCTAAACAAATCAAGACAAGCGAATTTTAATGTGTTAATAATATCAAGAAAAAAACAATATCGATTCCTATAGTTTTATTGGGTTTTTCTTTTAGTCTCTATAGTTTTTTTTTAATGT